AAACCAACACTTCAATGTTAAAGGTTGAATGTGAAACTATTTAATAAAAAGTTATATTTAAAAAAAATCTTGCCTCCACTCGGCATTTAAAAGTGAGCAGAATGAATATAGTATTTCTTTAAAAGCTATATTTGAATTTAAAAATAATCAAATATTCATTTTGATGGTTGCAACACAGTGTTTATGTTTACATCTACCAGTCAATAGAGGGCACCATTGCAGACTGCTCATCAGTCTGTTCCGCACAGCGAGGCTGACGCTGTGGAAAAAGGCTGACTCAACAAGTTAAGCAGCTGCTTCTGAGCCTAGAAGATGTTATTATTCTTCTCAGAAGAGGAGCGACCAGAAAAGATCTAAAACCAGAGTGAGTTTAGCATGAAGCCTATAACAGACTGACCCAAGTAAAAATTGTCACATATCGGCAGCGAACCTATAACCCCGACGGCTGGAACCTTGTTCTATTGTTGCAACTACAACCTCCAGACACTAGATGTCGCTTTAGTGTTTGTTTTTTATATTCCACCTTTAAAGTCAATAAATAATTAAACTAGTGCTTGTAGAGGCTTTTGTTGAGACAGCAGCAGGTAAATGAAATTCTTCTAAAATTCATTCAAATAAACTATAACTGAAATAACTGAACTTTTGCCTTGTTTCTGAAATGTTTGTTTCTCTCAAATTTTTGGCAAAGGTGCTAGATGAATATTGCTTTTTTATGAAAAAGAAAGGAGGCACAACACACAGCTTGAGGCTAAACTCTCCCAAGAGCCACCACAGGAACCATTTGGTGTGCCACTCCAAAATTTTCATTGGCCCCCCCAATGAAAGATTTCTGGGGGTGCCCCTGTGAGTATACCATGCTGAGATGACACATTCTAAGGATAAGATGTGCATTTTTATTTCTCTAAAATCATTTTGCCACTTTGATTATAACACTAGAAAAGGTTAATATCACAAAGCTGCGTCGGGCAAAGTCAAAAGCCATAAAGATCTCTGGAGAAGCTGCTCACCTGAAATGAGACAGCAAGGACACCCAGAGGTAAAACACCCCGTTAAACATTTGGATCAATATTAACGTGACTTCCATTTCATGCTTGCCCAATTCCAATCACCTAACAATATAGTGTGATACCGGGCAGGGGCTGGGTGTAACACAGAAGGTTATTACAGGCAAAAGGGCAGAGACAGAATGTGCAAGCTAAGCTGTCAGTGCTGCTAATAGACAAGGAGGCAGAATTTAACCTCCCATCAATGTGCACATGCTCACACATACAAAAAAAAAACGCACAAGGAGGGAATGCAAACATTAAACCAACATGTGGGTTTGGCAAATACAAAATTATATACATAAAATAAAAACCTCTTACTGTGTAAAGCACTTGATCTGCTTTCATTTATCTCGAATGAATGGGAGAACATTTGTTTCTGTTATAAAAGTTAGTTTTCCTGCTTTTTCAGACCTTTTCTTTTTTTTTTCTTTTTTAATAAAGTCCTGCGGTTAAAGTTTACTAAAAACTACAGCTTCCTCCTCGTCTTTTCTATGTTTGGGATCTAAAAGTGGTGGTTCACTGACAAATATATAATACATACAAAACCTGAGTTTCACATGCATGAAGAACATGTAAATGGTCTTCACTCCCTTTTTCCTGCATTAGCCGCTAAAAGAAAATACACAAGGACATGCTTGGGTAGTAAAGACCACACAGATCTATGTCTCACTGTAAAATCTGCATTCATGACTCTTCCCATCTTGGCTTGTGACCGAAGATGGCTGCGTTGACTTTGCAGCTCAGAAAGAGCAGAGCATGTCGACTATTAGACGCTAAGCATTAGCATTAGCCTAACTCCACAACAGAGATAAAAACTTCAATACTGCAGAGTGAATGGAAGCAGCGGAAGAGTCGAGTTGCTGTTAGCCAATCAGAGGTGAGATGTTCAAATATCATGATGAATAAGCAAGGGTCTCATTTATCAAACATTGCATAGAATCCTTACTAAAACCGTAATTAAGCTCAGCAAAAAAAATTACTTATGCCAAGTAGGTTTGTGGCCCATCAAACATGGAGTACGCACAGCTGCA